GGATGTGATATACCTTGATTTTATAAAGGCTTTTGATATAGTCTCCCACAGCATCCTCACAAGCCAGCTAAGGAAGTGTGGGTTGGATGAATGAACTGTAAGGTGGATAGAAAACTGGCTGGATCGTTGGGCTCAAAAGGTACAAATCAAGGGCTTTGTCTAGTTGACAGCCGGTGTCAAGTAGAGTGCCCCAGGCATCTGTTCTGGAGCCAGTTTTGCCCAAACTATTCATCAGTGACCTGGAAGATGGGACAGAGTGCACCCTCAGCAAGTTTTCAGATGACACCAAGCTGGGGGAGTAGTAGATATGCTGGAGGGTAGGGCTAGGATTCAGAGAAACCTAGACAAATTGGAGGATTGGGCCAAAATAAATCTCATGAAGTTCAATAAGGACAAGTGCAAACTCCTGCATTTAGGATGAAACAACCCCATGCACTGGTACAGTCTGGGGACCAACTGGCTAAGCAGCAGCCCTGCAGAAAAGGACCTGGGAGTTAAAGTGGACAATAAGCTGAATATAAGCCAACAGTGTGCCCTTGTAGCAAAGAAGGCTAATAATATTCTGGGCTGCATTAGTAGGAGTGTTGCCAGCAAATTGAGGGAAATGATTATTCCTCTCTATTCAGCACTGGTGAGGCCACATCTGGAGTATTGTGTCCAGTTGGGCCCCCCAGCTACAGAAAGGATGTGGACTAATTGGAGAGAGTCCAGTGGAGGGCAATGAAAATGGTCCGGAAACTGGGGCATGTGAGTTGTGAGGAGAGGCTGAGGGAACTGGGCTGCTTTAGTCTGGAGGAGAAAAGACTGAGGGAGGATTTAATAACAGCCTTCAACAAACTGAAGGGTGGTTACAAAGAGACTGAAGCCAGACTTTTCTCAGTGGTATAGATAACAGAATAAGGAGCAACAGTCTCAAGTTGCAGCAAGGGAAGTTTAGGTTAGATATTAGGAAAAACTTTCTCATGAGGAAGAGAGTAAAGCACTGGAACAGATTATCTAGACAGGTTGTGAAATCTCCATCCTTGGAGGTTTTTAACACCTGCATAGACAAAGCCTTGGCTGGGATGCTGTAGTTGGGGATTATACTACTTTGAGCAGAGGGTGAGATTAGATAACCTCCTGGGGTCCCTTTCAACCCTAATTTTCTCTGATTTCTATGACATGGTTGTCTGTAAGCCTGCATTTTGTCCCAGGAAAGATGGTATCCTGGAATAAATGTGACACCTATTCTCAGCCCAAGTAGTGTCATATGTCTTGGGCCCTAATCCTGTACCAAGTTATGCAACTTTATATGCTTAAAGGCAAGGTGACTAAAAGTGTTCAAGTCAGATTTTAAAGTTCTGCTGTTTAAGAACAGCTACTCTGAGGTCAGCAATGAGATGCCCAGGGGGGTTAAAGTGTTCACTGCCACAGGCTTTTGTGTATTTTTAGACTTGCTGTCAGATTGGTGTCACCTCATTCTTTCATGTAGAGATTTTCCTGTCTGTCCAATGCAAACAGAAGAGGGCCACTGTAAGCAGGTGATAGCATATGTGATACTGGTAGAGAAATATGTGACTGAATCTTGGGTTTTCATAGATTCATAGATGTTAGGGTCAGAAGGGACCTCAACAGATCATTGAGTCCAACCCCCTGCACAGGCAGAGACCCCCAGGGTAGGGGAGAGCACCACCTCCCTTGGGAGCCCGTTCCAGACCTTGGCCACTCGAACTGTGAAGAAGTTCTTCCTAATGTCCAGTCTAAATCTGCTCTCTGCTAGCTTGTGACCATTATTTCTTGTAACCCCCGGGGGCGCCTTGGTGAATAAAACCTCACCAATTCCCTTCTGTGCCCCCGTGATGAACTTATGGGCAGCCACAAGGTTGCCTCTCAACCTTCTCTTGCGGAGGCTGAAGAGGTCCAGGTGCCCTAGTCTCTCCTCATAGGGCTTGGTCTGCAGGCCCTTAACCATATGAGTGGCCCTTCTCTGGACCCTCTCCAGGTTATCCACATCCCTCTTGAAGTGTGGCGCCCAGAATGGCACGCAGTACTCCAGCTGCGGTCTGACCAGCGTCCGATAGAGGGGAAGTATCACCTCCTTGGATCTATTCGTCATGCATCTGCTGATGCACGATAAAGTGCCATTAGCTTTTCTGATGGCTTCGTCACACTGCCGACTCATGTTCATCTTGGAGTCCACTAGGACTCCAAGATCCCTTTCCGCTTCCGTGCCACCAAGCAGGTCATTTCCTAGGCAGTAGGTATGCTGGACATTTTTCCTCCCTAGGTGCAGCACTTTGCACTTCTCCTTGTTGAATTGCATTCTGTTGTTTTCTGCCCATTTGTCCAACCTGTCCAGGTCTGCTTGTAGTTGTTCCCTGCCCTCCGGCGTGTCCACTTCTCCCCACAGTTTTGTGTCATCCACAAACTTGGACAGAGTTATAATCTGTGTTGTTTCTCCAGTGATAATGTGCTCCTGGACATTCCTTTGTTGACCTCAGAGTAGCTGCTCTTAAAACAGTGGAACCTTAAAAGCTGACTTGAACATGAAATTGCAGAACAAACCTTCACCAGCTGGATTGTGTTAAATGTGGTCTAAATGATGAAAGCCAATTTGCTTTATAGCAGGAGACAGTGGGCAGTCCAGAGATACCGGCACTCTTCATTTGCCCCTGGTAGACACTCTTGGAGCTTGAGAGGCCTGGTCCTATGTGCCTTGGGAACTCCCCTGTAGGGTCAAGCCTTGGAAGCACCTGCTCAGTTTTCCTCACTTCCAGAGATGTACTCCTGGCAATCTCAGGACACATCTGTGGAAACAGGAAACACATTACCCATTGTCCCACAAGATTAACAGGTGGGACCATGGATGATGTCTGTTTTGCCCAGTGAAGCTGATCAACTGTTCCAGGACACATTGGGCGACATCTATTGAGTGACATCTATTTCTAGCTTTAGTCTATAAGGTACATCTCTACCTTGCCTTCTGCCTGATATCAAACCAAGGGCCATGTTACACAGTAATCTTGGGGAGCTCCTGGAGCTCTTAACCCCTGGATTGTCTGCACATGAACACCTTAAAGTGGTTTTACACACTCATGATGCGGCTCAATGTTATATCACTTCAGGGCAGGATTATCTCTTATCTGCACTACCCAGCTTCTCTTTGTCATATTGAATGAAATAGTTTGAATGTTTGTAAAGGTTGCCCATTAGCCAGTTTCAGGAAGAAGATAGGATTTATCTCCTTATCTAGCTCATTGTTTCAGAGCTACGTGCGAAATGTCCTGACTTCACTTAAAGTCTTAATTTAAATTGTATCTTTAGAAGTTTTTTACAAAGAAAGCAAATATCCTGAATTCCGAGACATCAAAGCCTAAGGCCTTTTAACCAAATTGCTAAGAAAAGAGTATTTACAGTGATATGGAAGTCTCCCCAAGAATAATTTAAAAATGCTCAACAAAGGTAATTTCTGTTGAGTAAGATCCGAGCCCAAATTTGGGAGGTATGATAAGTTGAGTAGGAGGATCCCAATGACGGCAGCTCACTCAATAAAAACCTGTAACTTACTGTCCCAATTTGGAGGTGACTTCACTTGCAGAACAACGAAGGAAGAATCGCAAGTGTAAACTCGGATTAGATTGATCACCTAATCCAACCTCTCCGTGAACACGAATCTCTTAGTTCACGCTGAAGCCGTGGAGCACCTGAAAGGGACTGAAGGAAGGGGACGTAGTCCTATCACTGGTGAGCCCAGCCCATTGAACCGTACTACTGAGGCCAACCCATTAAATCGTACTACTGAGGAATGAAACCATATTTTGGTATTTGGCTTCTCGGAATTCTAGGATTGTAAGTATATTATGAAAAATAATAGTATTGATTCAAATTTAACTTTTAGTTGTAATTGTAGTTGTTTTTGTAACACTAATTCTTATAGCCATGTTTGGGAAGGAAGTGCATTCGGAGCATTGTTTCTGATATATGTAATTATTGTGTTTTTAATGTTTGTGGTGTTTCTTAAAGGTAAGCAGTGTTATATACGTAGCAAAGAGTTTTAAAATAACATTGTGTTGTATAAATTAAGTGTGTAATCATTGTGAAATCGTGCAATCAGCTAACTACTCCCCCAGCCAGTGCATCAAAACGAATCAGTAAATTGTGTGGGATTTTCTCTATTCCATAACCCACTAGAGACACTCTTCCATTAAGGTGTGATCACTCCTCACAGATGTGCCACCCAAGTTGAAGTCCTCCAGTATCCCAGGATCTCAGACACCCCTGCCTGACTCAACAGCCCTCTAGTGGGAATTCACAGTTTAGCCTCAAGTCACAGGGGTACAGTCAGACAAGGTTTCTAGACTAAGGCTGTGACTAGCACTAACGCTGATCAGCCTTTGTGCAGCTCATAGTACAGAGCGTAACAAGGCCCTAACATACCTAACTAACTCTTCAGACTAACAGGGCTAAGTTACTTAGGACTACTTGTGTGTAAATTACTCACATGCTTATATCTTTAAAAGAAAAAAAGAGGTTTTAGAGTATGGGCTTCTTGGGGCTGTGGCAGTACATTACAGAAAAACAAGCGATATAAATTTAGCAGGTTATTCTCTTTTGTGTCATAGACTCATCCTGAGAATTCATTCCTAACTCTAATGATGTGGTTCTTATTGACAATTAATAGGATTGATGAAATTGTTATGAATGCCTTTTGGCTAAGAACTATCTGTGATGCAGGAGCTTGTAGTACTATTTTATTCTCCCAGAATTTAAAATAAATGTTTTTCTTTATATTTATTTCTCTAATGAATTGCAGTAAATTACTATTTAGGTTTGTTATTTAAATTATTTAATGCACTGACAAATTGAGTGCTTTCATCTACTCTCTTTTACACAAAACGTGTTTTTTAGTTTTCACCTCCTTAGTAGCATTTAAATGTATTATTTTTCCTTTAAATTAATTTTAACATGTAAGTTGCAAAAAATAATCACACTGATTTGAATGTAATATGTAAAACACTTACCAGAATCTTCAGTACTCAGTTGTAAAGTAATTTTACAGATGCCACCTTGATCTTGGCAAGTAATGGGTATGGTGCTTAGGATGGTCAAAACATGCTCTTTGCCATCTTCTGCAATTTGTAATGATTGTGGTACAAACTGGAAAAAAATAGATTACCAATCTTAGATGATTATGCCATAAATTAAGGCAAAATTTGTATTTTTAATATTTAAAAAGTGAGGTTTCTTTTCAAACACTTACACATTATTATAATTGCTTATAAGATAACCATCATCCTAAAATTCCAAAGGTAATTTTTTTTTCTTAATCTTTTTTCAAACACCTTCAGTAATTACGAATATGTTTGCAGTTGTCATCAATAACCTGTAATTGTTTCTTATTTTCTACTCTGAAAAGTGTCTTTCACAAATCCTGAAAATGATATGATAGCATATTTGTGTTTTTTAAGTATCACTCTTTAAAAAGATCTCTAATTACAGTGTACTAAGAGAGATATTGACAGTTATCATGGGCTAAAGTGTATTATTGTGATACTCCTGAGTATAGAGTAGTATGCTAGAGCCAGGAGCAGCTTAGATTACTGAACTGTTTTCTTCTTGTCCTTTCTCCTTTCAGCAGGGAGCAATAGTTTGCTGGTGATTCATATATGAAGTAGCATAGCTCCATGGGCTTATGCATTGGAAAGCAATGTGAAAGGTCTTGGCTTTTTCCATTTCCTCCCTGTACATTTGAGCTTGTGAACCAGAGTACTAGAAAGAACATGGTGTTAGGGCTGATCAGAGCCTGGACCCCTGGGAAACTCTGAAAGTTCAAAAAAAAATCTCTCATTGTGCATAAGAAAAATAAACCTTGAAACTTTGTATTTTCTTAAGGAATGGATCTCCAGATCTTCCAGATTCATAGATTCATAGTTGTTGGGGGCTAGAAAGGACCTTACTGATCATCGGGTCCAGCCCCCCTGCACTTGGGCAGGAAAGACTGCTGGGATCTTATGATCCCAGCAAGAGAGGAATGAGGGAGGGAATAATGATTTATCAGAATGCAAGTAGCTAAGGTCAAAGCCAAGCGTTAATCCATTTTCCGGGATTTCAAGCCAGGGGTCAAACTAGAACCAAGGTCAGGGCAAGCAGTTGATCAAGGCCAGGAGATCCAAGACAGGAAAAAAAAGTCAGGATTAAGCAGGAGGGTCTAAGCCAACAGCGTTGTTGCTAAGAAGTCCTGCAGAAAGGCAGTTTATGGCAATTGACTCCACCTCAGTGCTGTGTGTCCCTATTTCCCCAATTCTTGAAAGGGGCAGCCTGTGATGCTCTGTATGTTTAGGCTTGACCTGGGGCTCCCAGGTCTTCCAGACACTCAATTGTGGTTGGAGGAGTCTACACACCTTGAGAGACCTTGGCTCCATCCAAGGCTTCCAAGGCTGTAAGGTTCCCAGTTTGCAGCAGTCCATCAGGCAGGCTGACAGGAAACCAGACAGAACATTGTAATTTAACCAAGTTTGCCTTTTCCAATAGAAATATACTCTACTGGAAAATTAGTGACCAGCACTCTTAGTTTGGCTCTTTCAAACCTAAACTCTGGGTAGGTCACATGAATGGATAGGGTCACTTCCCTTTATACCATGCATGTATATGTAAAGCTAAAAAGCAAAAAAAGCTTTCCATATTGTATATTCAATTTATACAGGATAATATTTTTCATTATTATTAGGGGCACAACTACATGGTAAACTGATAGTGCCAGGCACGAGTGCTCCAGGTTCTCTGTACTGCTGCACATGAGCTGCCTCCAAAATCAGAAATAGCAGTGTCTCTAGGTTTCTTATCAATCCAACTGAATGCCAATGCTAGTTAGCCTGCCCCCCAGGCCACTTCGCTTGCACGCACACGACCTTTCATTTAGGAGGTATTCTATGTGGAGCACTGCGTAATGCATAAGGGTATCACTGTCTAGGACAGGACATTTACAGGCATAGATAGAGAATCTTGATGTGCTTTATAATAAACTTTTTGTTCCGTTAGATCAACACCTGCGAGATTCAGTAGAGACTGTCATATTTACCAAGGGTTAGATCTTGGAGCATAATGGCAGTCTCTCTTTAAAAGGGTCTTATTTTGCACTTGATAATGTAATAGCACTGTCTTGGTACAAAGACTGTTCTTCATGATTAATACAGAGAAATCCTAAAAAATAGTTTAAAAATGACAGCAATGTTATTCACTTAACCAAAGCAACCAAGAATTTATAAGGGCCACAAATGAAAGCAGAGTAGAGGATTCCCATTTATTCTAAAGTGCTAATAAACCAGGCAGAGAAGGCATAACATCCCAAACTAGAATTTGAATAGGCAACCAGGGCTAGTAATTCCAGTCAACATTCAGGATAACCTTGAGTTTGTGGTTCATCCAAATATATCACCTCTTGCAATGTGATTCTCATTGTAGCTGCCTGTAGTCTCCCGTACCATTCACCCATGCGTCATGTCTGTAGGGGCTTTTCTGGTTTTGCCATTGCTTAAGGAAGAGACAGGCTTGTTACTGGATTAGATCTTGGAAGGGTCCCAGGGGGGTCTCCCCTGCCATGTCTTGTTGGAATAAATTATTTTAATTAGGAGGAAGATAGTTTGTCCCGCACTTCCTGGTACTTTCTTTCAATCTTCCTGACTGTTCTTCCTACTTGGGTCTCTGCCACCCCTACACCCCACCTAATGCCAACCAAAGATGTTGTTTCTGGATTGCTAGTGCTGGTACAGTATAGACTCTGGTGTTCCAGTCTTCTGAATTTATGATGGTCGGATTGGGATGTTATCATGTCCGAGTTTTCCCCAACCGTACTTGGTCCTACCTAAGCGTCTTTCCAACCCTGGGTTACCTTGCTCCCCAGTGTCTCTGTCTTTCTCTTGGCTCTATACTTGCTGTGGCTCAGACGTCCATCTCTTTTTGTCCCTTCAGGTCCTGCCTGGATCCAATCTGGGCTGGAGATGTCCGGAGTCCACAGTACTTCTTCAGGTAAGTCACTGAGCCTTGTATGGCTCTGCTTATCTTGGAAAGCCCCTTCCCGGGGCAGCCACCATGTCCCTGCAGTGGAACTCTGTTCTATTCTGGGTCATTCTGGGCCTATCGGGGAACTCACTCCCCGGTCCCCTAAGCTGCTCTTCTGCTGGGCCTTTTATCCCGGTCTCAGGGGGCCAGCCATTAATTCAGCCCCAGCACGCTGCCATAAAGCATGCCCACACCGATGTGGAAGCCAGCCCTGGCTCCTTCCAACTCCGCCATTCCTTTTACTCTTTTTCTTTTAGCGCAGCATTTTTTCCTCCTGCGTTTCACTTTCACTGCACTTCTGTTCCGGTGCAGCATCCCGCCGGCTCCACTCTTCACCCAGTCAGAGTAAGTCTTTCCTCGTGGCTCTGTGCCTGCCACACTGCCATTTCCATCTGACCTTCAGATACAGAATACAGATCTACCCTGCTGCCAAGGCAAATGCTGTCTACTATGCAATAAACTATGAAGCCACCAGATAATTGAAGGTAGGAGGCATGCTTTCTCCAATTGTCATAAAGTAAGTAGGGACCACAACATCTCACACAATGCTGACTGGTCTACACAAGACTCTGGTTGGAACCTAACAATATACACTGAGACACAATTATTGCTCAAAAAGACCAATAGAATTTGTTTCTTAATATTGAAAACAGCATCCAAATGCACTAATATATCAGTGGCATCTACCTTACAGAAACATTATCTCTGTGGGTTATACTTAAAAGATACTGATTTTTCAGTCTCTTCCTGTGACCATAGGGTGTGTATAAATGAAACAGGGGCCCTACATTGAAGCAGTGGGTTTTAAAACCCACCACTTCAATTTGGAGCTAATTAAACCCCCTGTCATGCCCCCATCCCACTGACTTACCTGGCTCTCTGGTGGGGAGGGGAGTGTGAGCTGCTGGTGGGTGGAGCAGTCCCTGAGCTAAATTGGGGGTGAAGGAGATGGTGCTTCCCTCCATAGCAGTGGCAGCACCCCCCCCAGGGGGGCACCCACCTGCAGGCACCCAGCCCGGGTGGTCTCAGGGGGCATCGCAGCTGCAGAGGGAAGCATCAGGTCTCCACGCAGCTCAGGCAGGCAGGCAGGATCCGGGGGGCGGGATCAGGCATGCTGCTTTTCTTGGGCAGATTCTGCTTTCCCGGGCTGCTGCCAGGCTGCCTGCAGGGCTTTCTGCAGAGCCGTGGAGCTGCATGGAGCCCAGTGCTTCACTTCATGGCTGTAGGGGCAGCAAACTAAAACTCCTTGAAGGAGTTCTAGTTCGCTGCGCCCCAAGTCATTTAAGGTGCATTACACCATCAAATTTCCTACAGTGGCTGGAATTAATGCGCAATACGCTGCTGAAGCGTGCAAACACCGACACCATTAAAACAGAGCAAAAGCATTTAGCCCACTTCAAAGTGTTGTGCACATATGCACCTCATTTCCTCTACACATGGCCCTAGGCAGATATTTTCTCGACATTAATTTCTCTCTCCTTATCCTTATAGTCTGAATGCAAAGGCATACTGACTCCATGGAAATGAGGCACTCCTAGCATTATACATAGCTTTGAGGAAATGCTATAGAATACATGAAGCCCTTTTTCATACTATGTGTTTTAACAGTGTTAGCATCTATACACTACACTGATGGGTGCATTAGAAAGGTTTCCAAACAAATAAAATGGTATATCATTTACTAAGACACTGTCTTACTAGAAACATAGCAGTATTGTTTATGACTATTAAGGCTTATCTTATTGTGCATTTATCTTTCAAAGCATGTTTGTAATAAATGCATATTCTTCAGTATAGAGAAAATCAGTAAATCAGGGCACATCACTAATACCTTAATCCCAATATAAAATCCAGTGCTCTCTTCAGACAATGACTGCTGATCAGGTGGGTCCTTCATAAAAGCAGTAACAGTGCAAAAGACCTGTAATAAATAAATAAATAAATATTGTATCTCTCAGTTTGTCTTGAAGTAAAGCATGAGAGAGATTATATAATCACATCATATTTTCTAGTTATCCGGGTTATTGTGTTTTTGCCTTTAGAAAAGTAATAGATTTTTAGGGTCTGTTGTTTGCAAGTTTGTTTATAAATCTTGAGGATTTAAATAATCTTTTGTGCATTTATTTGAAAAGGAAGGAGACACTGGTATTAGCTCTTAATAATTCTTAACACTTACATGGCACTTTCTTTTGTAGATACTGAAGCAACTATTAAAGGGGTGTATTATTCTTGCAATTTTGTTGAGGGAAAGACTGAATAAAGAAGTACTGGTAAAGAACATGTCCAAGGTCACACAGTAGGTTATATAGGTTCAGTTCTGTAGATTCTCAGGTTAGTGTCCTTCCCACTGGGCCATATAACCTCTTTTTAGTCCTTATTTTTCAGCCTTTCTTTTATTAGGACAATCATCCTCCCCCAGAAATAGTGTCAGACTCATAATAGAAGTTGTCTGCACCATTTTTCTTGGCACGTTATAAAAGTGCTGTCTAAATAATATTATATGTGTCTACATGGTTGTGTTTTGGGGAAAACACATAAAATGCCAAACCAATTATGTTTTATTCCTAAAACAGCCGTGCAGCTTTTATCTCATGGAAGCTACACACTATCTGCCATCTTCATATTTCCTTGAAAATAAACTCTATTGTTTCAGAATATTGAAGCTGAAAACACCATTTCTTGAAACACAAGATTATGCTACACAAACCCTCCTTAAAGCAACCTATTACAAATTGCCAGACTGTACCTATTAATTTCTCTCCTGCTCATAATTAGAATAACTGATAGTGACTTACAGAATCAGTTTCAGATAGCCAGAAGTCACATTTATGGTGGCTGATATTCGAAGGCTAAAATAACCTGTGAAGGGGAACTGCTTTATTTTATACAGGGAGTAAACATCTTGGGGTAGCTTTCCAGAACTTGATATATTGGCTATCCATGCCACAATGGCAGCCACCGGTGTCTAGTCATATTTGAAAATCCAGTTCTTGGTTAAGAAACTTTTTCAGAACAAATAACAATACTTTCAAAGCCTCATAGCCTTGTGATGCCAACCATTTTTAGGTTTGTATAAGACCTCCTCCTCTCCCTAACTCTGTACATGTCTCCTCTCTTACATGTATACTGCAATTTTCCTTTAAACTTTGTAGCTATCCTGTAACTTCTGCTACTGAAGTTTTTTGTGTCCACCCAGAAAGTGAGAAATGCCTTGGGTGAGGTATGTACCACCCCTAGATCCTAGAAGTTGAAGCAGTGTTTTGCCTCTTTTTTTTCCTGTAAGTGCAAGTTTCTCAGGAACACTCTTCTTAGAACGGTTCCTTTGTGCTCTCCAACGTGTTGTCTTTATTTGATATATTCTTGGTGTCAGGCCAGCTATAATATCTGCTCTCAGGTTGCTAAGGGGAACCTATATAATACCTTATTTTGAGCAGATAGAATCCTTTTGAAATTACCTTGCGTTTGGCTTCTCCTAACAGGAATAAGCATTCCTTTGGTGCTGTCGAATCATAGGTTTTCAACTCTTGTGTATTTCAATAATTTTCCTCTAAAAGTATTTCTCCCTATTTAATTCTTGTTAGTGTTAAGTATTTGTTATTCATCATGATGGCATTGTTCTTTAAATGTTTGCATTCAGTCCATGCAATGTTAAAAAAGATCATTTTCTGGGATGGTAGGCAGTGACTGCTGATGTTTTACTTTTTGTCACAGCTGCTACAGTGGGAAAAGTCTTCACAGAATCAAGATTTGACCAATTGTTGGCAGCAGAATAAGAGATAATGTCATTTCCCTTAGTGAAAAACATTACTCAACTACCAATGTCAGTGAATGAATCTAATACATCTGCATTGCAGATGCTCTGTTTACACTGACCCTGGTAATGCTTACTGGGGGGTTTGTACTTTTTGGTTCAACAGCTTTAGTCAAGAATATTAAAATGGTGGTTTCCTTCTGAAAATACCAGTGTATTTGAGAAGAGGATGGTATATATATATATATAGTTTATATTCTGAAAGTGGAACGTAACACAAAGAAGTTTTGTGTTCATCTGTAACTATAGTTGAAATACCTCTAAAATATCATCTCATCATTCCCATGCATTTTTTTTGGCAAATCAAGAATAATCACCCAAGTAGAGTAGGCATCTTGGGTGGGCTGAATAAGATCTGTAGGTCATGTGAAGAGCAGTGTATTTGAAATTGGAAATATATGGACACATCTTGTGTTATACCATTACATTTTATCCCTATCTTTTTTAAAGTTCATCTTTCCTTTTAGTTTCTACTTTACCTTGTTAGGTGTACATTCATTTCACAATCATCAGATATGTTTATTGGCCACTGAGCTACAGGCTGACAGTTTGTCAGATAATTATTATGATAGTACCTCTCAGGAGTTTTTTGCCTTCAGCTAAATACTAGCTCTTCTCCAGTTCTGCAATCAACTTTTTTTTTTTTTTCATATCCATGTATCATTTAAAACAAAAAGATAACAACACTAATGGCACTCTGCTGACAGCATTGACAGGTTGGGCGGTATTATTCACAAACTCTTCAAATCATTTTAAAATGCAATTATATATTATCCTCTATTTTAAAGAATCAGCAATCTGTTAAGGAAATTTCAGACACAGTAATTCAATTGTTTCTGGTTGTGATTTGGTTCCTCTCTTTTATGTGCCTGAAATGATTTCTAGAGGGCAAAAAAAGGTAAAAATACCTACAAAATAAAAAGGGCTAGAAACAAAAAATGTCTTTTTTTTAACTTTAATGCTGACTTATTTCTTCAGATTCCCACTGATTTCTTCAGATTCACTCCCATTTCACTTTGAAGTCAGTAGAACAGTACATGTATGAAAAGCCAATATTCACCCAATAACATTAGGAAAAAATAATTCCCCCTTTGGCTTTTTGAATGTCTGTACCTAGCCACAATCTAAGTTATGTGGTTTTCTGTAAGCAGCATGATTTAGATGCAGAAACACACACATTTGCCCCACATTTGTAAATCTTAGACTGGGTCCCACCATTTTTAACCCAGCCTTATGTGCTGTACTTCTGTTATGGGTATAGACCAGTTTTGTGTGTTGAAATTCTGTTCTGTTACAGGTGTAGATCAATTTCTGATCTTTTTTTATACTGGTAAAAGAGTAATGTCTGTACCTGGCCTGAATGATCAGATCTGGGAATTGGTTGAGGGATTATTAACTTCTAAACAGGATTTGTCATGCACATTGACAGTCTTCCCTCAGCATCTTTCATCAGCATCTTCATAATGTCTTATTTTATTGTTAGGGCTGGAGGGGGAGGAACGGTTTTTTTTGTTTTGTGTTTGTTTGTTTGTTTTTTTTTTTAACTCTTTATTTCTGTAAAATGTGAGAATCCCAAAGTATCACAAGTAAATTTTGACTTCAGGTTACATAATTCATTTTGAACTGGAAAAATTATGCTTTGTTAATTTTTTTTCACTCATCATTACTATTGAAAGTAACACAGTGGCAATCTTTGGTACTTGTGTGTTTTTCATAGAAGCCAGTTGACAGGATTGTGGCTGCTCATAAAATACGGTCTTACCCAATTTCTTCTTAAAACAGGGCCCTTTTACATAATAGCATTAGCCTCATTGCTGGAGTATTTGCCCATGAAAGGAGAGACCTAGGTTCTGTTTACTCCTCAGTTTACACAGGGTCCAAACTGTCATCAGGACTATCAGACTATTGGACTGGTGCCATTGTGTAGACTGGAATACAGTATTTATGGGGACAGAGAGAATGTACAAGTGGAAACATGAGCCTATGGCTAGATATATCTGATGAAGTAGATTGTTGCCTACAAAAGCTCATGCCTCTCTGAACTTGTTAGTCTCTGCCCTAGGTTCTGCTTGATTTCATACTAACATGCTAAACACCTCTGTACTCTAGATAAGGAAATAGTTAAACATGGAAAAACTTCTTTCCTCATCCATTTTGAGTGGGAATTAAACAGTTCTCTTTTGACTGTTAAAGCAGAATAGAAATGAGTTTACTTGCTTTTCACTAGGTTCTCTTTTTGTGGTGTAAGGCATCAGCAAGATGGACACATCTAGCACCGACCTCAAAAAGGCCAATTCTTCTTAAACATTTTATTTTACAGTGTGTATCATAGTTTATGTATGGTGACAATTGCTTCTCACCATGTGAACTTTCAGACTGCTGTGCTGAGCAAAATCTGCTCAGTTTTCTTCTAAATACCTTCTTTTCTTAACATAACTCATTACTCACACTGTGCTTACTGTAATGTGTAGATGGCTATGCCTGTAGGAATGGAATGACCTCTGTCAATGTCACATAAATACGGCTTAGGAATGCTAGGTTTTGAATCAGATGGAATGGGCTTCTCTCAGTGTTTTATGTAGAAATAGAAGCATATTGTGGATGTATTTAAGTTTGCATTAAGTTTTATTATACTATGCTTCCAAAAACATTTTCTGAAACAAGAGCCCAAAGTTGGGGGAATGCATATGAGTACTATGAAGAAATATCTTTGGCTGTTTAGACAAAAGAGAAGTCGATAGAAGTTCAACAACATTGGCTCACTAAATCTCAATTACTCCGTAAGGTCCTATTAAAGCTATTATATGGTTCCAATATATATTAAAACTTATTGATGGATATTCTATTATGTGCCTTATCATAGTACCTGGAGACTTTGTGATGAATGAAAAACCGTGTAGATATCAATCACCTAAAAGATGATTTAATTTCTTTTCCTCTTGGCTATATTATATAAAAGAGTGAAAGGAGAAGATGCTCATTTCAGACTAATATTAAAAATAATATAATTCCAAATTCTTCTGTGGAAGCATTAAGGCCAAATTTAGACCATGTACTAGTGGATAAAAAGTAGAGTAAGCACGGGTGACTGTAGAATTGTTGCTGCTATTCTAGGACTAAATTTTTCCCATTAGTGGCACATTCTGTTCTATTTTGTTCCTATGCACTTATTTTTGAGAGAAAAAAATAAGTTCTTAGGTTTCCCTCTCTATGATAACAAAAGGATTTGGCAAAAACAGTCAGCAAAGGCACTTCACCTATTAGCTTTTGTCTTGAGCCCCTATCATTTGTGTTCAGCTTGGTTTAAAGCTAAGCTGGCCAACTGAAATCCCTCCAGCCATTGCTCCTTCAGCCCAATGGCAACATGTAGAGGGTACGTGAGGGTGCATGTGCACCCCCTGAGAGCACTGGTGCACCCCCTGACAGGCCGTGCTCCCCACTTAGGTGATGGGCAGGAGGGGGCTGGTAGGAGTGCCGGTGGCCACTTCCGGAAGCCGGTGAGTGATGGGAGCAGCACAGCTATTCACCAGTCAGTAAGTTTTGCTGCAGGGGGGACTTCTGCCCCGGTCAGTGAAATGTGGGGGGACCTCCCGCCCCGGTCAGCAAAATGTGGGGGGACTGTGGGGGGACCTCCTCCCCCCCGGTTGCTGACTGGTCACTGTGGGGGTATGTGCCCCCCACCCCGTGTAAGGCGGCACCAGTCGCCCATGCTTCAGCTCCCTATACCTACAGGGGCTAGATACAGAAATTTACTTTCTACTGGGAGAATTGCTGTTCTTTTGGTAGAAAGCAAAAGTGTACAGGCACTCAGGCTTTTTCTCCCAGGGACAAAATGGCTTCTTCAGGGGAAAAATATCCCTGGAACAACCAGAGTTAAGTCACTCCTGGCAGAGTTTTTGCAGGAAGACTGGGATCACCATAGTCCTGTCCCCCACCCGTGAGAAGGAATGGGAGGGAGGGAGCATCTCTTACCCCTCCTGTAGACTGGGAAGGGAAGCTTCTCTTCCCTGCTTCTTGCACCACAGTTCTTGTTATGAGCAGCTTTGCTGAAGTGCTTCCTCTACTTGGCTTCCAGACACTGGAGGGTAAGCAGCAGGGAGCAGCTTATCCCCCTGCCTGCTTCTCACACTAGAGTTGTCAGCATGAGAAGCAAGCAGGGGCACCAGGAGCTGACCACAGGGGGTGGCAGTGTCCCTTACCAGCTTTCCTTTGCCCCCCAGCTGAGTTGGGGGGGGGGTAGGAAGCTCGTCAGGGGCAAACAGGTTGGGGAATGCCTCCCCAAGCCTTGCTTTATCCCCTTGGCTCCCCGCACCAGGAACAGAGCAAAGGGAGCAAGTCTGTGAGCCCTCTGCCTGTTTGTCACACCTGAGTCCCAGGAATAAGAAGCAGGCAGGGGGTTGCCCTGCTGCTTCCTCCACTTTGCTCCAAAAGACGGGGAGCAGAGTGGAAGAGCAGCTGTTCCAGACTAGGGAGTTTTGCCCCACCACTCCTTTTCCCACCTGGTGAGACAAGAAGTAGCAAGGTACAGCCAACAGCCCCTTCCCTAAGCCAGGGAAGTTCCTGGCTTGAGGAAGGCATGGCTCGAGGCTCTCTTCCCCTCACACCAGTCAGGGAGGGGAGAGGAGGGGAGTACCAGCTATTGATCCCTGCCTTTTCCCATGGCCAGACACTGCCCTGCTTTGGGTAGGGGCTGGGGGCTTTACCCCATGCTCCCTCTACTCCAGTCCCAGGGATAGGGAGCAGAGTGAAGGAGGCAGATCCTCCACGCTGTTCCCCAGAGCCCAGTTGGGGGCAGGTGTGGAGAATCTTTCCCCCTTGCTCCACAGCCCACTCCGTAGTAGAAGTAGTGGAGCAGGCATTGCTCTGCTCCCCTTGCCCACACTGGAACCAGCCTGATTTTAGGAAGGCACAGAGAGAAGGGGGAGGGAGCAGCTACAAAGTGAATGTCTGTACAGCTCCCTCTCCTAGAAAGATTTCTCCTGGGGAAATTTCTGAGAAATTTTCCCTAATTGAAAAACATCTGTACTCAGTCAGGGTTGAATCTGGTCCTTTGGATTTGATTCTCTTCTCATTTACACCAGTTTACATTGGCATAACTAATGACATGCATAAAGTTTCTCCTAATTTATAGCATTCGTAGTTAAAGGAGAATCTGTTTTCTCACAGTTTTTATTAGGAACCCAAGGTGGAACAGCATAAAACACTTTTTCAGATCTTTATTTTTGTAAAACATTTTAGACCGAACTCCATGTTATAGCTGAAGCTTTCTTGCATGGCTCTCACCACTGACAATTTGGGGATAATTATAATTATTCAAATAGACCATGAAGAGCTTCTAAAAAAATTCTAGCAGTGAACTGAACATTTCATTCTCATTAAGATTGCTAAATTAAACACGTGGATTTTAGAAGAGGACAATGAAGGGCTAATTTCCATATCAGAAAAATGGAAGTCTATAAAGACTTGAGGACGTTACTAGTTAAGAAAACTACCTGTTTCTGAATCCCTCCAGGATTGCTTACATCTAGATTTGAACTGATTGGAAGTGAAATTATGTTGATGACAATAGATAGCTCGATGTAACAAAACTCACCACAAAAACTGGCAGAATTAATTTGTCTGCCTCATATCAGCTCAAAAGAATCAGTCAGACTACAAATGCAGGTGGCATAATTATGAGGAGAAACTAGCAAAACTGTCCAGATTTAGCTGTGCTATAAATGTCTAACCTTTGTAAGAACTGGAATAAACTTCACATTTTTAAATGTCTCAAATGAAAAAAAGATTCAAAACACCCAGGCTGTTTCCAGCATGCCTTAATATAGGACTGTTAAATCTGTTTATTCTTCCGGTATCTATAATATGACTAATGGTTTTATTTTTATAATTTAAATTTAAGTCAGGTTTCCGGACTGTGGAAAGCCATGAATTCATATGACTCAAACTTTTCACACTTCTGTATTGTCTTCTGTATTTTTGCTGCTACTGTTAAAACTAGACCTGTATTCCTGTATAACCCGACAGATGCATGCAGTGCTTAAAGATGGTTTTGTAGGGAATGCTGTCTGTCAGCTTACAATAGAACCAAAGATTCACAATCAGAGTGGCAGACAGCTATATTAAAAAAAACCCTTGAAAATAAATCTTCTTCCATTTTAAAATGTACCATCTTTCTTTTCTCTGGAAGATTTTTTTTTTGTATCTGGTCTGTGAGTATGAAATTACCCTGTATACTACCTATTCAGTCTATGTAGTTACACTGATGAGAGATTGGAGAAATGCTCTCTGTATTTTTCCTAACTCATAGGTGTACGTACACATGCATGCACACATACACAGATGCACTGCATATATATCTTACTTACGCCAATTAAATGCCATTCAAACTGAAGCGCATCTATCAAATATTCAAGGTGTATTTGCTTAGTACATAAACAGTTAAGTGTGTTTGTTCTAGAGCCAGAGAATGTGAGGTGCATTATATCATTAATGAAAGTATTAAGAAAAATTGTGAAATGAAGACCTTTACTTTACATAAAGGTCATGGGTTCTGCCTTGACAAATGGTATTTAATAATCCTGGTTTGAAATATACTTCTATCTGGACAAGTTCTTTTACAATAGATGTAAATATAGGTAGTGGAGAATAGAATTAATAAAAGTGAAAGGAAAATTCTAAACAGGGATTTGGTTCCTCTTGAGTATTTGACCTTGTTTGCTGAGTTCAGGACAGCATTACCGTTACTCCCAATCTGAAATTAACTCCATCCATCTCTACATAGGAGAATGTCTGCAGAGTTGTGTCACGATGGATCTGTTCTTTCATGCTGGATGCGGAATGGCGTGACCAGACCACCACATAGTGCAAAGGCTGAGTTGAGGAAGAATGGCTGTAAGCACATTTGAGATGGACATTGCCTCTCACAAGCTCAGCAGTAATCACTGGTTGCAAAATCAGGGTTGGGAATTTTCCTGGAAAAAGAAGTGATATGCTGCAGACATTGATAGTAGCGTATTTCTTCCTTAATCATGTAAATATGAACATTGTGAAATGTTGCAGAAACGTTGCATTGCATATGTCTGTAAGGGCCGTGTTACATGGTAAGTTTTAGCAGCTTCTGGAGCTCTTAACCCCTGGATTTGATGCACATTAGCACCTTTAGGTGGTTTAAAGCACTCATGGATTGGTTTAAAAGTACGCCACTCCAGGGCAGAATTATCTCTAATCCACCTAATTTTGCTGCTGTTCTACTATGGTGTGGCCACTCCCAACAGCAGTTCCACCCAAGATGAAGTTCTCTAGCATCCCAGGATGCAATGGCCCTTTCTGAATGGGGATGCTGGGGCGCAACAGGCCAGGCATGGTGCCTCGCCCCCTGGGGACATCAGGCAGAGTGAACGCTGCAGCTCTTGAGCACCTGGCAGCTGTGGTGCCTCCTGCTGTTGCCTGGACTGGCTCACTGCTTGAACTCTGAGAGGTCCAATCCTTTTTTTCCTCTGGATTGCATCCCTATGTACTGCTTCCACCCAGGATCCTGGTTGGCCAAGTGCTGCTTGAGTTTTGAAAAGGATCAGGCCCCTCGGAGTTCAGGCAGTGCCTGGCTGACTGGCAGCCCAGCTGGCAGCAGCACTGTGGGGTGATCTCCGGGGAAAAAAAAGATTGGAGCTCTAGCAGCAAGCCAGTCTGGATAGTGGCAGGAGGCACCGCAGCCACTGCAGTGGAGCAGCAAACCGGTCCTGCCCCTGCTCACCAGGCCTCTAGTGGCAAGTCAGAGCTGTGCAGGTGAAGGACAGCCAGAGAGTTTTTCACCTTAAGGTATGACTGCTCCACTCAGCCAATCAACACTTAGCTGATTAACATTTGCACAAGTTTCAGCATAAAGTGTAACAAGGCCCTAATTCAATTATTTTATTATATAAGAAGCAATAAAAAAAATATGAAAATAGAATAAAAAGAAAGAATTTAGGTAATCTGTTAAAAATACTAACCCCATTTGTCCAGGACTGTATACATAGAAGAACATGTTTTAGAAACAAAGTATGCAACACATTTGGTGCTAGATAATGTTAATATTATTACCCTGGCAAATTCCTTCACCTTCAGATTCCCCAGGAGCACAGACCTTTGGTTTTAACTCTGCAACAATAATAGAAGAGATGCAAGAAGTCAGTATGCTGCAGTGATGACAAAGTGGTACCCTGTTGACTCACAAATAATCTCTAAGTCATTGCTCATGGAATGAGCAGCATTTCCACATTCTTTTAGGCTGCATGTGGCATGTGTTGTGGTAGACTGGCTGGCAAGGAACATGTTAGAATCCCAGATAGCGTCTTTTCTCTAAGCTCTGAGTAGCTACTAGTACTCTAAAAATATGTCTTGCTTCCTCTATGCTTCAACAAATAATTTGATTCCAATGTTAGGGATAACATTTAAGAGATATAATAATATTGCACTGTATTTTACTGTCCTTTGAACTCTAGGGCCACATCCAGAAAAGTGTGGCTGTGCAGCATGTGATGCTGCAGACCCGTCTGTGGTGCCACACACTGCATATTTAGATGTAGCAATAGGGGGTGGGGGTTGACTCTAGGAGATCCTGGGGTCAAAAAAAAAAAACACCCCACACAGAAAAAGAGCAGGGTAGTTCACATGGTGGCACTGTGCACTGTCCAAAATTGGAGCCTGACTGGTTGGAGCTGTGCTCCGGCTGCTGGCTAGGCTCCCAGCTGCTGGAGCGCTATGGTTGAAGCTCCCTGAGACCCCCAGGACCCTAGGTAAGGCTTCTGGGGCCAGCCTCCCCTACCCTACCTGGGGTAACCTGTCATGCACCACAAGGTGTGTTGCCACTTTTTGTCCTTAAGGAAACAAATGTCTGCACTCATGTGGATGCAGCCTAGAGGTCTAAGTTCAAATGGAACACAGAACTGGTTCAGGTTCTTTGAAGGAATGAATTAATGAGCTTTCTGGAAGAATACAGAAAATACTATTAATGCCCAAAAGAATAAAGCATAAGGCAGTTTTATCAGAATGAAGAATTTACATGTTAATGTCTATGACAAATAGCAATAAGGTAGGAAGATGAAAAAATAGTTTCTTAAAATAGGGAATACATAGATATTGTTTGTGTTTGTTATATTCTAAGGAAAATTGCTTCAAACTATGGCTTAGATCATGACTTTCTCCAGAAAATCACACAAGAACGGCAAAATAAGGTAATCAACTCACAGGAACATCTGAGCAAGATTTGTTATGCGCACACACACATGGTCACTCATATCACTTCCCCAGATTTGATCTCTCTCTGATGCTCAAATTCTAAATGTATGAAGGTTTTGGAGTTTCTTATGCTGAATATGGGAGAATTTTGCCTCTAAGGCACTTAGGCATGAGACTTTTGAAGCCGGAGGCTATGTTATTGAGGGGCTTATGTGCTAATCACTTACAATTTAGATATTGAAGAAAGATTAACTCTGTGAGACCCCTTGGCTGTGAGTGGTTTCTGAACAGCACGTGGTACCAGGAGTCAAAGGAACCAAGAAAATATCCTGAGTGAAAGAATGGAGCGGTTGACAGTACCAGCAAAAAGGAAAGTTCTTTTATTTCTGACAATAGCTGGTTTTGAAGAACTTGAAAATTGAATATTGTTCAGTTAACATGGGCACAAAATTTGATGAAGCTTCCCTCAGAGTATCTCCTGCTCTACTTGGGAGACCCATTCTGACATGGTCAAGAGTTAAGGCAGATGCTTCCTTATGGGGTATGTTCTAACCAAAGTTAGATCGATCTAAATACCTGGCCATGCAGGCATTCACAGGGCTTAAATCACCTTGAAAATGGTGCACCTGATTTAAGTTAGTTCACCTCAGAAGGTGAATTAGCATTAGACAGGCCTGGGTTAACATGATATAAATGGGTTAACCTAGTCTAACAAATGCCTGCATGCATCACAGCATATCCCCAAGGCTAGGAAAGTCCAACCACTCACCCCAGCCCCCATGCTATTCTGTTTTAACCCCTACCTCACATCTTCCCGTTGACCCACCAGCCCCACCAGACCTGCCCTCCCACTCACTGATCCTGCCAAGCCTCGCCTCCCAATTTATGTCTGACTGCGTGGGTAAATGCCTGCATGCGTAAACTGAGTTGCGTGATTCAAATGTTTGTTCGCACCCATGGGGCTACACTGCCTCATTCCAGGGTTTAGTACATGAGGCGCAAGAACAAAAAGGCTAGACATGCTGCCAGAGTGGTGTAGATGTGTTATTTAGGAGATTGATTCAAAGTAAGTATTGCAAATTCTGTATTAGGCTAATGTTGCTAGTTAATGGTCTATATGTTTGGTCGTGAAAGTATGGAGAAATGTACAAGAGCATATGCTCTTGTATGAACTAGTTGGAAGTGGTGGTTCTTCTCTGCACAGACTCCAGTTCTCATTGCTGATGAGCTAGAACTCACCCACTTACTACAGTGGACCTCTATAAGAGTCCTTCACTCTGAGTCATTGCTGAGTAGCATAAGTTACTCTGCATCCAGTCTAGTCTGTTCATGAAGAGGATACATGACATACCAAGCAGCATCAAAACTCTGAAGTTAAGCCCCTGGGCAGCTTTGTCAGTCCTTATTCAACTTTTTGAAACTTCATCTATAAAATCAGGGAGCAGAATGGGGGTATTACTCATGCAGTTCCTGCATGGTCCAGTTGTTCACTCAGAAACTTTGATCAGTGGGTTTTAAATTATTTTTGTTGGAGAAGACTGTCCCAATTCTGGAAGCACTCCCTTATATATTTAACAGAGAGTGACATGCAGGTGCCAGTGCTTGCTGTGGTTGTACACTTGACCCAGATGTGAGAGGTTTGCTGACATGCCAGACCTCAGTAGTATATGTAGGAATAAAACATTAAACCTGTAGCTTAGAGGAAAAGTAGAATATAGAGTTTTTCTCCCAACTAAAAAGTAGGATGCTCACTCTGAAGAGCCAGAGCTTATGTTGGATCATGCTTGACAGAAAGGCTGGGAAAGGGGATTAGTTTATAAAGATTATTGACATTTTCAGCTGAAAAAAAAAAAATAAAAATTTTTTTTTTAGAAAAAATGTGATAGAATTGTCACTTCCTAGAAATGATCCATATGATTTAAACACATTTTAATCTAAAATTTTCATTTCATGCTCATGGGGAAATTCTTACTTTCCTTATTTTTTTTCATTTTTTGAATGGAAAGTTTACAATATTCAAGAAATGGAGAAAAACAATCCTTTTTTTTTTCTTGGGAGGTAAAAAAATCCCAAGGGTTTCTTTCCCCATTTTTCCTCAACTTTTGTTTCAAAAATTTAAAAAGTGAGAGAGAGGAAAAAGATGAAAAAGCAACATTTCAATGGAATGAAACAAATTTCCAAATACAACAAAGAAATCGCTTCATTTATAGAATTAAGTTTTGATTTGTTAATTTTAAAACATAAAAAATGAACTATTTAAGAAAGACAAAATCTGTATATTTATTTCAAAATAGCTCTCTAACAACATGAATTGCTCTTTCAAAACATTTTTTCCTAAGGGAAATACGGTAATGAGTTTCTTAGTGTGTCATGTCCATGTTCACATCCGAAAATGCTGAAAGGAGACTATAAAGATATGTTTTTTCTTTAAGAAAAGGCACTTCCTTTTAACTGAATCTATATGCACCTGAACAGTCGGAGTTCAGAAGGTTTAACTGAGTGAATAATTTCTTTCTGCTATTTCTTTGTTTCCTAGTTACAGAACAGAGGTTGGATCTTTTGTAGTAGGCTACCAATTATTTCTGACTAGAGTAATTTTATTAATGCCATGACAATCTGTAATCAGATTTGTTTTCCCATCCAAGGCTTCAAAGTTATCCTTTTGTGGGGGGGATTCTGGATTATTTAAGATAAGAGCAAACCTTAGATATGGTACCTCAAAAAGAAACTAGCTAGTTTTACATCTTCAAGACACAGCAACGACGAAGACGATAGTAAAGGTTACATGTGAACAGCAGCCAAGCTAAGAACACTTCAGTTTACACATACCAGATTACATTTTGCACTGGCAATAATAGCTGTGCCTCAGAAACAGCTTGGACTAAGGCTGATTTATTTGCTACATAGACTGCACCTTACTGGAAGTAATACTTGACTTGCAAGGTCAGTGAGATGTGTATTTCAATACCAGGACCTTTGAACACAGAGCAGAAGAGGCATATACAGTCTTACTGATAAATTCATTCTTTACTAAACCTACCTTCTGCACAATAACCCATGCATCCCTGAGTGGGCTGCAAAAGATAAACAAAGAATCCACCGCAGTTTCTAACTGAAATAGGTATTCGGAACAAGCAGCAGTCTTTGGTGCTCCCAAAGAAGAATTGCCACGTAGCGCAGGCCATGAGCTGCTTTCTTTCACCAGGAAGAGGGAGGGTTTCTGATTTCAGGGAAAGCCAAACTGGAGCTTGTGTTCCACATTTATTCATCTGAGGATGAGCATAAAAGGAGTCATTTCCAGCACTCTGGATATAATCACTTAAAACATACATTTGTTTATTAGAAATAGGAGTTCAGGGCGGGGGAAAAATACTTTTCATTGAAAAGGGAAGATCAGTTTAGCCATGTATCATTTCTAAATCCAATTGCTACCTGTAAGCTCAGAAACATCTTATACTTCTATTTATGTGTCTGCAAAAGAGTTGATGGGGCTTTAAATGGAGCCAAAGAGTTGGATTTGCTGGTCTGTCTGAGTTCATTTCATGCCAAGTAAACTGTGAGAATACCTTTTCCCTGGCATAATGGTCTGTCTCTTAGGGAAGGACTGAGGGCAGGGATGGGGGTGTAGTGAGACCATGACAGAACCGAGTTCCACCATACCTGGTCCCTTGCTGCTTTGGATCTTACACCAACATGTAATATGTTCAAATATGTTGCTTCTGCTCTGACTGCTGCTGAATCCCTGCAGTCTTCATTGTGTACAATGCCTGAGAATTGGAGCAGGGATAGACACAGCAGGGTGCCTTTTTTTCTTTTTTACTTTGGGTATTCTATGGGTTTATGAGTAAATTAAATGCATCAGGTATGGGAAATATTGAACAAGGAGACTAGAAAGTGTATGTTGAAACAGGGTGGTGGGCTCTGTTGCATATGCATGTAACATGGTACATTTCTTGAGGCCCTTTAGAACTGAAAGCCGTAGACATGGAGAGAGGACTAGGAGCAAAAATATCACTTAAGGAAACTTAAGAGAAGAAAGACTTAAGGTGGGGCAAGTCACAGAGGGAATGCTATCATGGGAGCCAGGGAGGGATTTTGAAAGGTAAAGTGTTTCCTCTGTACATCTAGCTGATAGGAAGGTCTTGTGGCTGGATAATATTCAGTACTTTGAATTTATTTATTCTGGCTTTTTTTTTTGGGTGTCCCCCCCCCCCCCCCCCCCCATGAGGCTATTTAAAAGCTGGTAGTTTTGAGTCTACTTTTCCATCCCCAGATGGTAAAATATAATCTGCTCGCTGGCATTATGAAAACAAACACAAAAGTGAGTGTTAAGCTCTGAAATATCTCAAAGGTCTAGTTATTCTAAGGGAAGTTGATGTACCATCTACCCAATCGATCCATTTTTAACGTCCCTATAATGATAAAATCTAAGCGCCAGTTGTGTCATAGTGGTGATCATAAAACTGTAAGGGGCACTTTTACCACTCCTTTTATTAATAACTTGTAGTTTTATGCTGTTTTGATCACAAAAGTTCCACACACACTTTACAAATAATACAGTCATGGTCTTGTAAATATATTATTGCTTTCCAAGTGGAGGGCTTATTTTTAACTTTAGTTGGAACTGAAGGAAATTGTCCTTTGTTCACCTTTTCTTACTAGTTGTACATTTGTGAACAGGCAAGAACCACTTTGTCATTTTGGAGGACACAGCAAAGTGGTATTGCAAAACAATTTAGTCCTGGATAGGGGGAAAAAAATCTCTCTCTCACATTGAAGCAGGACTTGGAATGTAACTAGGCAGAATATAATGACATATTTACATTACTTGGGGCAGTAGGTAAAATACTGGTATATTTGCAAATAAAAAAATGCTGTGAGATTTCTAATAACAAGAAGTCCAGGACTCAGCTTTGTATCCCATCAGAAGGACACAGTGAAGGACATTGGCTTGGTATTGACTAAAAGTGAAAACTGACTCTTTGACAGTGCTATGCCACATCCAGCAAGACCTTGAATTATCCTTGGAGGCCCTTTATCTAATACTAAATTCCATCTAATACCATAGGTTCTAATAAATTTACCACCAAAAATGGCCTGTTCACAGGCCT